AATAAATTTTTAGCAACACGGTGTTTACATTAAAAGCTATGTACATGATCATAAGAAAATCAAAAGACAATAATCAAAGTTATAAGCGAAACAAACACTAAAAGATTTTTATTACAGTCTCTTTTGTTTAAAAACTCATAAAACAATATGAATTCCGCACATATTCAAATGTTAGAAAATATAAATAGCATTTAGTTATGGAAATGCACCATTAATTTATGCAATTTAAAATTTCAATTTACATAAACCAATAAGTAATAATTTAAAGTTATTCGAAAAACTTTAATTCTTATTAATGCTTTATTATTAAAAATGCTTTATTTTCAAAGTTACCTAAGTCCAGAAAAGTTGAATTATGTATGACAGTTTAATTGTATTAGGTGTATGAAAAGAAAACTCTCTTTTATTCGGAATAAAATACTTTTATTTATATTCAAAAATAAATGTTGCTAATCAAGTTTGTTTATAAACATTGCTAACCTATCACAAAAATATTTATATTATCATGGCTAGTTGTACTTTTCTTTACTTGTTTTTGCAGATTGATTTAACATTTTTTTAAAATGTCTGAGTCTGATCTGATTGGAACTCAAAAGATTGAAATTTTCAATAAAATTTCTTATAACGTGTTTTAAAATTTATTTAAATTTATTTATCAAGAGAATTACTAGACAAAAAATTTTTTTTTGTTAACGACATTTTTTGTTCATGAACACAATAATGTAAAATGAAAATAGCAAAAGTTTTTAAACAACTGTCAAAAGTATACTGCGTATGAACCACATTATTGTTTACCAGTATTGTGTTTATGAAAATGCCTATTATATTTGCAATAGTGTTTTTATTACAATGAAAGTACAGTAATATGTACACAAATTTAAAAAGTTTGACACAAAATTAAAAAATTTTTAGTAAAGGGAAGAGGCCGAAAATTGAAAATACTAAAATAGAGTCATATTTTAAGTGTCTTATGTAATTTGATATTATTAACACATAATTATAAGTGCATCTGTGCATGTACCATTACATACATTTCCTAACAAAGTTTGCAACTGTTTTGAAAAATAATTTCTTCAAAATCTAAAAGTGGCTGATATCTTTTAAGTAGGATTTTAAAAATGATTGTTTCTTTTTGGAATTCCTATTAATTTTTAGAAAGATCGTGTTTTAGCAAAATAAATTTTATAGTTTTTTACAAGTTTGTGTATAGGGTACTATTTTTAAAAACGTTTTGTTTAAGAATTCTTTTAAGATTATTGGAAAAAAACTATAGAGAATTAATTATTAAAATTAACAATATTTTCATGCTAAACATCTTTTATATCGTTCATACATATCGTCGGCTGTATGCTTGTCGGCCGCATACGCCAAGCACTGTAAACCGAGAAAATTAAAAAAGAAAGTTTGACAAAGAATTAAAGAAAAACTGCGCGCTGGGATTTTTTTATATTTTATATACGAAATAGTACTTTGATTTTTAGTTTTAATTTAAAATTTCAGTTTGCGGACTCTTACGGTTCTTGAAATATTGCAACTTTTGTAAGACCAGTCGTTTTGGCCTTTGCTGCATATTCCATGATCTTGTGCAAATTTAAAATTTTATTTTGTTATGGAGCTTTGCGTTATTTATACAAAAATTTTCAAAAAATTATCAAATTAACTAAGGGAATGTTTGAAGTGGAGCAAAAAAGAAATTAAATTAACATGCAAAATAACAACAAATTTATTATTAAATATTAAAAAAACAAGTTATTTAAGTAATGTTTTTAAAAATTTTTATTGAAATTATTAAATTCCGAAAATTTCATAACAAAAATAATAAGAGTATACTACCATGATGAAAAAAAATTTAACAACTCAAACAAAACTATTAGCCTCTGCATTTACAAAATGATTTATTGTACTTTGTTTATATTTTAAATACTATAATATAAAAATATTTAAATTCTTCTTATAATCTATACAGGAATTGTTTTCAAAATAAAAAATGAATAACTTCTTACAAAAAATTAACAGCCTTTTCGTAGCTTAAGTTTAAGAAATTAATTATTGTACTTTGTTTCATTTTTAAATGCTATAATATAAAATATTGAAATTCCTATAATCTAACAGTAAATCATTTTAAAATAAAAATTAATTACTTAAAAAAAAAAATAACAGCCTCTTCTTAGCTTTATACATTTTTAAATACTATACTATAACAGAACGTTAATACATTTGTTTTTTTTTTTGTTTTAATTTAATTTAGTAATATAAATTTTTCAATTAAGTTTCAGTAAAGCTTTAAAATACTCTTGATCGACTTTAGGTAAATATGGCAATATAGATTTTATATCACCTTTCTTTTCATTTGTCACATAAGGGCGATCTCCCATATTTTTAACATTGCTCTCAAATAGATTTTTAGGTGTTGCAAACGTTTTTTTTGTCCCTTTTTTATAAATGGAAATCACCTTGAATTCTAGGTCTGAGAAAGAAGTTTTATATTTCAAATTAAATGGTTGATTGCTTTCGTAGAATATATATTTTGCTTTTGTAAATGGTATAATAAAATAAGAAAACTGCAGTTAAATTTTAAAATTGCTCCATTGTCATATTAATTATATGGTAAAAAATTTCAAGTGTAGAGTTCCGTATACAATGAAGCAAATAAGAATTTTTAAAAACTCCAATATTTTGTTCTACTGTAAATGCATGAATGTATTGTGATGTTTTTTCCAATGTCTATGCAGCAAAATAAAATTTTTTATAATTTTGAATTTTAATGCTCTATCACGCAGTACTATGTAAATAGAGCACACAAGAAAAACGTAAAAATGTTCTCATTTTTCCATACAAATTGTGCCGCAACAACCAAAAAATGGTTCATGGGGCACATAAGCATTAGAAATTCGTAAAAATGCAGTCTATGGAGCAAACCTGACACTCTGTATCTCAGCAGCAGATCGAGATAGAAAAAAACGGATTAGACAGACAGAAAGAGCATCACTTAAAACCTATAGATGCACTCATAAGTCAAAAAATGCAAAAGTGGCGTATGGAGCCGATAAGCATACAGCCGACGATATCTATATATCTATATATCTATATACATCTATATACATCTATATACATATACCTATTATTTTATGTGTAAATATGTACAAGATGTATTTGAATTTTAATCATCCATATAAACATTAAAGCGAATGCATATCCATAAAAACATAAAATTCAAATAAAAATTTCAAGTAAATGTCAACATTTTCTTTATAAAATGCCACTTGCGAAAAAAAAATTGAATAAAATTTCACTTTGAAAAATTATTTATTTCAAAATAACCACAAAAACTTTATTACACACATATATAGAAATACTTGCAATCTTTGCTATTACTCATATATTGTGTTAGAAATACCCAATAAGTTTATATTTTTCTATTCTTCAGCATTTGCAAATCAAAATAATTTTCCTCAAAAAAGAAAAAGAATAATATTTTTTATTTACAATTGAAAATTTTATTCAAAAAGAAAATATGAAAAATTTCTTTTGAAAAATTTTCTTCAAAGTTAATAAAACTTTCATCTATGATGTCATATATTGAACTCATAAAAATAATTAATTTCATTTACTTCGGAATATTTTTACTTAAAAGAAAGCATTATTTTTTTTTTGTTTGTATAAAAACGGACCATATGTTTAAGACTTTAGATATATGGACATAATAGTGGTTATATACTGTCTACATTCTGCATGTATGTCCAAATGTAATCATCAAAAAGTTTTATTAAAGCTGATTTCCAACAGTGTTATTAAAATAAAAAAAATCTTTAAATAATTAAAAGCATTATACAATATGTGATACATATACTCCATATATCTATATAACATGTAGAAAAAATTGAAGAAATTAAAAAGAGAAAGAAATAAAAATTATTTATAAATCATTTTTGAAGATACTTAATTTGATATGTGTAGCAGTATATGTATATTGATTGCTATTATTATTGAATTCAAACAGTGTCTCACATGCAATGTGAGTGTAACTTAATAATGTAGTAATGATACTACAAAACTAATTCAAATCACAATAATTAAATATTCGAGCATTTAGACTTACTTGATTGATATACTAAAATATTATTAGGATATTTGCTACCTTAATTAGTGCTAAAGAAAAATAAAAGACTCAAACCTTTACTTGTATTCTTGTTTAACATAGTCGTCTTTTCTACAGGAATAGAACAAATAATCACATTGTCTGATCATAAAACCGCACGCGTGCCATGGAAGTTATATACAGCAAAGTTTTAGATAATGATATAACATATCAAGAAAAAAATAGCGGAAATCGAAGAGGTAATTAAGATTTTAAAAAATTTGCAAATTTTTAATCCAAAATTTCATGTTTGGTTTTCTTTAACTAGAAGACGGTAAGTCTAACACCAACCAATGGCATATCGTTGTATTTTAGCTTCAACAGCTTCGAAGCTGAAACGGATATTCGTGAGACAGGACTTTTTCAGACGTTCGAGTTCCCCCCTCTCCCAACTATCTAAAAAATTCCAAGAAATTTGGATCATTCTGCATATTATAGCACTATATTAGTTTTCAGATTCCTATACGAACTTCACACATTTTGTGATAGATTTGAAAATTTAGTTCCGGATTTTTTTCATTTTATCTCTCGACAAAATTTCGTAATACTCTTTGATTTCTCCCTTGCATTACGCACATGTCTAAATACCCAAAAATTTATATACACTTCTACAAGTCATTTAAATTAAACATAAGTCAATATTCTTAGGTAAATAATGTGTCACATTTTATACAGTCAGAAGTTATAACCCAGAAATATAGTAAAATTGAAACCATTTTCAAATTTTGAGTAATAGCACTAAAAACTTCAAATTTTGAATTCGTTCAAAACAATTGTGTACACATGTTACATATGCAATTAATCCAGAAAAACTATTGTAAAATAATAAAAACAAAATAATAAAAGATATAATAAAACTCACCTCAATTCTCCAAATTTCTAAACCAGGGTTTTTACCAGCGTTAGCAAATGCTGGATCCATAACTCTTTTTCCAGGTGATTTGGCACTAGCTGGAGTTGTAGGTGCTTGAACTGGTGCAGGTACTTGACCGGTAACACGAGCTGAACAATTTTGTACCAAAAATACTAAAGCAATAGTACTGTAAATAAAAATAAATTAAAATTAAGAAAATTAAGATATTTAGAAAAATTAAAAGTGTACTTTAAGAAAAATTCCGTTCAAATAACTCTTTATTTAAATTGAAATAATTTTAACTTCAATAAAAAATTTGTGCGAAATGAAAACAATGTGCAAACTATAGAAATATTAAAACTGTACTGAATCATAAATATTATAATATTAAATTTTATAACCAAAAAAAAAATAGCTGTATATAACAATAATTCTAGACAAAATGTTTTATCGATTTTTTCCTATTTAGTCATACGAAAATGGAAAATTTAATAATGTGTATCTTACCACTACACTTAAGCGTTCCTGTTATACAAATAAAAATGTATTATAAGATACCATAATAAAAATTCTACATTTAATTATTTTATATGGGAGCAGTTTGTATAATTATAATGGTTTTTGTACGACACTTATTATGTAAGTTTAGAGTAAAAATTATTCAATGTTATCTTATACCTGCTTGTATGAAGGATTACACATAATAAAGTAACTCAAATATATAAAGGAATGCACTTAAATTCGAACCTAAAACTATTCTGTTAAGTTATTTATTAAAGTTTAATCCTGGAAGCCAGTAAATTTAGTTGATCCGATTAATCCAGTAAAATTATTAAATTTTGAAAGAATATAATTTAACCTTAGCGAGTTGTAATCTTCATATACCATCACAATTTATTTGTCTTTTTTGTATGATATACTTTCATAGTTCACAAGGGACAAGCACAAAAGGATCAAACAAATCGGAAATGATAATTGTGTGAAACAGTAACGTTAATTCATTAGTTGATTTTCTGAATTTATCTGGGGGATAAATTAAATTTATCTTAAATTTAAGCCCCCAAGCATTGAATTAATAAAGAACATACAAAAGTATTTCAATATAACGATCTCAAAAACCACCTTTAGTAAGGATCTAAATTTTCAGATAAAATTAAATTATTAAAATTTACAACAGCAAAAATTAATTAGCTGAGAAGCGAAGACACTGAGAAGCTTAAATCTGTGTGTCAATAATTTTTCATTTTGAAAAATAGTTCTAAACTGGATTTCCCCATAATTAGTACTTTTTTACGATCATAATAACACTTCATTTCATTTATATCAAATTTTAGTTAAAATATTACTATAAAAGACACTTTAACTACCACAATTACAAACTGTTATACAAGTTACTAATTTTTTATTTTATGATAAACAAAAAAGAAACCGACTGTTTTGTTTTTTACAAATAGAAATTTCCATAAAAAAAAAAGTAAAATTTGCGAAAAAAATTATTCTCAGCTGAATATTAATATTATTATATAGGTATGTATAAATGTAGATAACCAATTGTTTCAAATTTTAAGACATTATAGAAACTTCGGTGTTCTAATACAGCTACACATGGCAGGTCGTAGGTTAAACCGACTTGTTGTAAACTTATAAGATCATTCCAGGGAAAAAACTTATTCAAGATAAATATCGAAAATATTTCTGCTCAAATCAGACTTGCAATAGAAAAATTTGTGTGAACTCGTACATCTGAGTTTTTTTTCACAAAAACCACTTGTTGCTTATATATTGAGTATTTCCTTATAATAATTTTTATTTTCTGTGTTTCTAAAGATATTTACACATTCTCAAATTTTATACAAGTTGGAAATTCCTGCAAAAATACCAAAAATTTCGAAAAATTAACACTTTCAAATAAGATATGAAATTTTTGATCTTAAACTTTGCGAAATTTTTTGATATCTTAAATTTTTACTGTCACTGTATGGTTAATTTTAAAATTTGTTTGTAATAAAATTTGTTATTTTTTTATTGTCTCTTTTTTTTTTTGGTTCTTCCGACTAATAAAAACTTCATACATACCTCCCCCTGGCCTATCATACTATGTTATATATGAATAAAGTAATTCTGTGACTAAACTTTTATTAGAAAGCGATCATAAATTTGTTTAGAAAATAAACAATGCGGCGGTAAACAGCAATTTAATTTGTTTTTTTAATAAACAAAACCCCAAAAAAAAACTAAAGTTACGTACTTTTAAAGATACTATATCTATATTACATACATACATACATACATACATATTATACTTTCAAACATATGAATTTGAGATTGAGAATAACATGATCGGCTTAATTTTTATATTCTTTATTTGCTGAATATAAAATCGTTTAGCTGAATGAGTAATGCATGAAAATAAACAGTTTTAATAAAATAATATAGGAAAACACTTACTTTAATATGAGTAAGTGATATTATTGTGACGTAACCTAAATTACTATGCATACATCCATATACACAATTACAAATTAAATTCTATGAAGTGTGAAGATCAGTATACCAACATTAAAATGAGAAATAAACTATATAAAAAGTTGGGTCAAACCAATGGTTTGTATTGTAGCACTTTTCCCTTCAACAAGTGAAAATACTGCTTTTAAAAACAGTCTATGTATACCTATCACACTATTAAAATTATTTACATTCATATACAAAACTATTTCTAGAATTGCATATATTTAGGATGACGCATATATGCAGTCTTTGAAATAAAGCAAAAATTAATATAAAAAGGGGTTAACATAATGCTCGATTTTAAGGGTTAATTGTGTGAGTTAAGAAAAATAATTATATTTTTTAATGTCATGGAATTTACCGTTAACTTTTTGCGTTTATAGAAATTCGAAAAAACTTGCGGTTTCAGAAATATAAGGTGTCAAAAATGCAAATTTTATAAATTTCAAGAGGCCATAACTTGAGAGGGGGTGGAGATGGAAAAAAATTTTCTTCTAACGAAATGAACTACTTGTTAATGTCTAAAAGCCCCTAAAATTTCAAGCTCCTAGAGGCTGGGGTCTAGAAGAAAAACGACATCAAAAATTTGGAAAAAAAGGACTTTAGATAACGGTAAATTTGAGCGGCCATTTTGTTTTTCTAAAGTTTAACTATAGTATACCACGGTAGGGGAAGCACGCCGCTGCCTTTCTGCGTTTGCAAAATTTCAAAAATGCTTATGGTTTCATTGCAACAAATAGTTAAAATAGGTAATTTTTAGTGCTTTGGGGGGGTATAACTTCTAGAGGGGGTGAGATAGGTAAAAATTTTGTTCTACGAAAATAAGTTTCTAGTAAAGATCTATGTACGTATTAAATTTCAGCTCTCTATCTTTAAGAATGTAGAAGTTTTGTAAACAGACACACGGACGGACGGACGGACGGACAGAGTGAAACTAATAAGCACTTTTTTTCAAAAATTTTTTGGAAAAGTGCTAATAAACTATATAATAATATTACTTATTATGAATAAGATTTTTCGAAGCGTTATTTGTGCATGTTCATAGTATACCAAACACCTGCTTTACTTTTAGTATAATTATATAATTATACAATTATATAAAATAGAATTCATTGTATAAAACTTGTCTAAACCCATAATATGTGAATAACATTATTAATTTAGTGCCATTATTATTTTTTAAATCAGGAAGCACTTATTTAAGTTACTTTGTAAGAAAATTAGAAATATAAAATAGTTATGTAGAGTTGTTGAAAGAAATTCTTGAATTAAATACAACATACATACATACTTAAATGGAAAATTTTAAATTTAATTAAAATTAGAACGTTTTTTTTTCTTTTGATTAAAAAATAAAATGTCTTTCTTTATATATAAGTAAATATCGTAATTTTGTGATGCGAGGGTGATAACATAAGTGTGACACGTACTACTTTCGTATGTGCATACTAATTACAACTGCCAACTTACAAACCTAATTTGCCCTCTGCCATATATGATTTGTAAATTATATATTTGTATAATAAAATTTCTGTATATGTAGTTCAATTACATTGAATTCTAGACCAAGGTGCCTCTATTTACACTGATGGTTGTAAGACATCGCAGCCGGACTATACGATAGCTAGGATTCATTAGAGCGGCTCTACGGTCGTTGGGTTACTGCACTGTCAAATCTTTTGACTGATTTTTGTTTGACTTTACTGATTTTTGCAGGCTATGAAGGTTAACCTTGCAGTTGGTCCCGAAATATTGTAACGTCGAAGAAAATGAGAGGTCTGGCAAACCGACGAAATTTGGAGTGAAAATAAAGAGTGGACTGGTCGGTGCATCCTAGAGGAGTTTAAAAACATTATAGATGAGGAAACTTGCTTTGGGGTAGCAGTCAAACTTGTACAATAACAACGAAAAATTAATAGAATTTCAATATGCGAACAAACAAGTTGAAACTAAATTTAAGATTCTTGATGTATTTAAAATGATGGTAAACAAAAATTCACTTATGTTTAATATCTTATTTATCCAAATATTCATTTATTTATGAAAAGATTAGATAAAAAAAAATTTTTATTATCTAAATTGTGTTCATTAATTTTTTTTAGCAAATTTATTGAAATATAAACATACCTATAATAAACACATAAAGAGTAAGTATGTAGGTACATTGTAGTGCAAGTGAAGTGCAAAAATTTTCTTACTTTTATGAAAACTTTGATTTTTTTTTCATTTTAATTAATTCTAATTTTAACTATTGACAGAATGCTTCTGTTTCGTTCAACTCTTATTATTAATTTGAAGTTCATACTATTTTTACTCTAATTATTCTATTCTTGACTTAATAATTATTTATACGCTTAGATGATGCCTTCATTTTTACAATAACCACCTAGCATACATATTTTTGAGTTAATCTTAAGAATATTCGAGGCGGATAAACGTTCCAACATATTCAAACAATTTGATTTATATCTCAATCATACAATTTTTAATACAACAATTTTTCTTTATATAAAATAATATATGTAGGTATGTAATTGGTAATTTATTTTACCTGTCTATATAATGTTAATTTTTCAAAACACGTCTTATATTAGAAAATTGTTCAAATTATCACTGTTTCACAATTTTATTAGTCCACAAAAATAAAATTAAAAATACAATATGTACTCGTATATATATGCATAAATAATTTGTAAATTTTGTAATTTTTTCTTTAATTTGCTAACCTGAATTTACAGTACAGGTGAGTTTTTATTATTATTTTATTTTGTAACACAATACTTAAGAAAAAAAAATTATTCCTATTGTACACAAATTTTAAAATATACAATGATCTTTCAATCTCAATTACCTGATTGCGACTATTGCTGAAATCCCATACGATGATCGTCTATTCTGAAGTAGACGAACTCCAATTTTTGTTGAAGTTTGTTTCGTCATTGTTTTTATGTTATTTTATTCCGCAGAAGCGTTTGACTCTCTAAAAAGAGAAGAATATATTTTTATTTTACTCAAATGTTTTTTTTTTAATAAAAGAAATTTTGTGAGTGTACTCATTATTAAGTAACTATGTATGAAAACATGATCCCTGATTTTAAATATAAATGAATGAATAATAAAAATGTTTGTTAAAATGACTTATATGTTTATACATAAGTGTAAATAGAGTGTATATGCTTAGAGAATTTGTTCTAATTCCAGATTGTTCTTAGTTTTCAACATGAAATACACAACTACCCAAACCAACATTTGGAATAAACAGTAAATACATCAAGTAAAGGTGAGTTATATTATAGAGATTACAAAACAGGTAAACAAAAAGGTAAAACATAAAAGAAAGAAGAAAACAAAAAAAAATGAAGAAAAATATAAAGAGAGTGAGTGAAAATTTTCTAATATAAGTAATTTAATTTGACTATTTAAACCTAAATTTATTCAACCTAAATCGAAAAAGTGTGCGGCAGCCGGTTCTCCAAAAAAATAGTTTAATATTAAATAATATTACCTTTCGGCTATACTACAGAGATATTCATAAGATTCGATTTCTAGCTTGGTTTCTAGCGTGCGGTGTTGAAACGTCAATCACACTTTTAAAACGAGACAAAGTATTATGCCGCACAGTTAAATTTCAGTATGCCGTAGCGGAACTGCTCTAATTTTAATTAGTCATGTTTTTTAGGTTCAATACAATTTTAATCCTGTAACTATTGTTCACAAATAGGTGATATTTAAAATTCATTAATTTACTTCACTTTTTTCACTTAGTTATCTGAATACATACATACATATATGAACGTAGCCATATAATTTAATTTTTAAATATGCTTTAATATGCAATTTTGTAACAACATTTAGAGTATTTAGACATTTTACAAAAAAGAAAAAAGATTTAAATTAATTATCAATAACATAATGTATGAATGTATTATTGTGTATATTAACATGCAAATACTATTGTAGTAACGGAGTACTCTAACAGTATAAACAGACATATAAAAATGATGATCAGTCATGTTTTATTAATTGAAGAGTAGGTATAAGTACATTGAAATTATATTTAACTTATGTACATAAATTATAATATATGAAACGCAAACAGATCAGCTGTCGCAATTTTGTCATAATCATCGCAATAGATCGTAATATTGTACTTTTGTACAATAAAAATTTCTTCACCAATTGAAAAAATATAAAAAAAATTTTGAATGATTGATTCAAAAATGACATGATAATAAGCATTTAATTGTACATATGTACGTCACAACAGTAAATTTACTATATGATAATTATACAATATTTAATTTAAATAATTTAAATTACGTATGTATGTCCATGGCTGGATCTACTGTATATGCACAGTAAGCATACAATGAGCGCCTTAAAACAGGAACGCAATTATAATGCGCAAAATGCAATGTTTATTGCGTATTATTTATTTCTTTGGAGGGCCAACATTTTGGAAACCGCATAGAACGCCAACAAGTTGGTTATTATATTAACACATTTTATTATTTATGTAGATCAGTATAAATTTGAATTAATCAGAAATTCCAAAGTAGATATACTGAGGTAATTATGATTGGTGATTTTCTCAAAACCGAATATATGTACAGATCCAGAATAACAAAAAAATCTAATATTAATAACAATTACATTTATTTAAAAGCATTCAAAGAGAATTAAGAAAAAATTTGTCTAATTGCTATTGGAACGCGCTTCGCATACTTTTTATCTCAATAAAGCGCTCGTATTATTTCTGAGCATATATAAATCAAATCAGTATAAATGAAGATTAATAACAGCAATTAAACAGACATAAAAAATTCTAAATTTTTAATTTATTATTTAAAAAAAAAAATAAAGATCAATGAGAGCAATTATTATTATTATTGTTATAATAATGTGTTTTGACATTGTAATGATACACAATAAAATCTTATTGTCAATGATATTGAAATGTATTAGTAGAATATATTAGAGATTATTATATTAATATATGCACATTTTATAAAACAGAAACTACATTTTAGCGGCAAACTAAACTAGTTTTCTATGCACTTTTATTATAACAATTTCAAAACAATAATACAATTTTATTTTTAGAAAAGGACAACTTAATGATTCAATAACAACTTTTTGGTAATGAAATTTTAAAAATATGTTCATGGCAAAAATATTACTAATTCCATAATTTTTTAAAATTTGATTTTTATACAATTTTGTTAACATTATAAACAATCAGAAAAATTAACAACTTAAACATATTTTTTGTAGTAACCTAAGAAAATTTCTTTCCAATCAGAAACTTTACCCACAAAAGTAATTAATTTTTCGGGTATAAATAAATCAAATGGTAAACAATACAAGAATTGCAAACTCTAATCTCACATTTTTCATTATCAATACCTTTAGCTTTAAAACCTTTAGTAGTGTTTCACTAAATGTTCTTATACCTAATATTTTATACATAATTGGTGTGTAGGTACATGTCATGTACTTGCAGCTATACCTATGGCAATTTTTTTAATCCACGTGTGACCACAAAAAAGGTAATTCTTTAGCTATTTATATGAACAAGTAGTTTTACATAAGGTTTTCATAAAATAACAAATTGCCTAAATAAAAAAAAAATATTGTTATACAAAATTGAAGTTCATGTGTACGTGGTTTTAAAATAATAAAACAATGTCAACCACATAGTTAATAAAATATGTTCAAAAACTATAAGTTCAATCTTACGTACACATAGATATATTTGATCAGATCACTTTAGGATATCAAACTACAGTAATATATTTTTTTTAAGAATATTATTTATTCGCTAGGGAAAGTACACTTAATGTTATATAAAAGCCAAAACTAACATATTAATTAAATTATTGAGGGCTGGGCACTGATTCTTCTTATGAAAATGTAAAAAAACCTTATTCAAAAGTTCATAGGTATTCTTTTTATTTACCAGTAGGATAATTGGGAATATTATATAATAGAATTGTTATAATATACCCTTTAAAGTAACGTATATGACCCATAAAAGCCGGAATCGAAATTTTTAGGAAATCTGCAAGTGTGGTGAATTTTGTTTTTTCTTGTCATTATTCAAACTACACTATATTTGAAAATAATTTATTACATATAATAGTGGTATACTATTATATACACCCTGGCAATACTTATAAAGTTAATGCAGCTATATACGAGTATTTAATTTAGTACACAGTCACAAACGAAATGAAACATTTAATACACCATGTAGATAAACTAAAATTTTTATACACAATTTTAATAAATGAATGTTTAAAAATATCTGAAAAAAAATTAAATATAAGCAAATTCAAAATAGTAAAATACACATATACAAATACATATACGAAGAAAATGAATAATAAACTGAGTTGTTTCCTATATAATAGACATATATGTATGTGTTTGTATGCAAACTTAACGTTTATTATTTTAATTAATTTCAAATAGTTCTATTAATCATCATAAACAAAATTCACGTGATGAATATCATTACCGCATCTGTATATAGTAAAATTTGTCAGGTGTATTATTTTTTTTTTTGTTATACATGTATAGTTTGTATAATAACTAGTAGTTTAATATGAATTTAACATATATGTATGTATGTAATAGCAAATTTAAATATAATATGGAAATAGAAAATCATATACGAATTTTGATGTTCAGATGAATTTAAGATACCTAAGAATGATATTAAGGAAATCGTTTGTTTAAACCGATCAAAGCACAGTTAATTTAATTTTAAATATATACTTAGAATTATTAAGTGTTACTTGTTTCTAGAACTTAATTATAATATTGTAGAACTTATCAATCAGTGCTCTTTTAAATTTTTTGTACCTACACAATTTTTTGTTATTAAATTTTTGTAACTATTAAAAATATATAAAAATAGTATTTAATATCACTCGATAATATTTTACTATAAGTAATGTTTTATATAAAAAAAAAATAAAATATTATTGTCCATTAATAATACAACGTCTTTATTAATTAAAATAAAAAAAAAATTCTCAAAAAACTTGATTTTTGGCGCAAAAATTTTTTTTTAGGCTATGATTAATCCTCTAAAAAATTTCAAATATTTAGGATTTTAAATTATTATATTTTTGGAACGTTAATTTTAATTATTGGTTCTAAAGAGCATTTTATGAATAATATTGTCATATGATTTCAGATTTCGAGTTGTATATCAACAATATTGTATAGGTTCGAACGATCTTGCGGAGCTGATTTTCATCAAATTTGCAAAAAAAAATATGTAGGTGTGATTTAAAATAAAAATTTCAACTATTACTTTCCGAAACACGTAAACACAAAGAATAGACACAACAACACTGATTCCCTTCCTAATCATCATAAGTATCAAGGACAATACGTTAACAAAAATTAAAAATCGCTTAGAGGTTACAATGATAAGAAAAGATGCTAAATATTTTTAATTTTTAACTGTATTTATATTTATTATTTAAAAGTTCATCAAACTTATTGATCTTCTTCTGTTACAGGCAATCATATAAATTGAAATTAAAGTTTAAAAAATTGAAAATTCGAGATTGCGATGTCAAAGCAATATATTTTTAAAGACCAAAGATGTCAAAATATAAGATGAAAAAAAATATGCAATAAAGAGGCATCTCTCGCCTCGCCTCCTCTTTTTATGAGTATGACGCCTTCAATTTGTATTTACTAATTAAGACGTTCTTATATCTAATTTCTTTCTAATATATGAGTGGTTCTTATACCAAAACATAATAATATTGAAATATTTTTTTTATTAGACCTGTTCAAATTAAAATATTAAAATAATTTTAAGCAACAATAATTAAAAGAAATAAATCTTGTATAATTTACAACAATATTTCATAAATATATGGATTTATTGAATTTATAATATTGGTACATTTATAAAACACTCAATTTATAAAGAACATTTCTATAAAAAATTATTAAATTTTATTTTAATACAAAAAAAAAATCACATTTTTCCATAAATTAACTATTAATTTATTAATATTAATTAAATATAATTTAATTTAAAATTTCAAATTAAATTTATATTCATAAAATACACACATGCATATATTAATTTGTAAAATCGATCAATTTCACACAACTTGTTCATATACTTAATATGAAACAAAAAAAACCCTATGAAAATTAATTAAGCTAAAATCGCGTATATGTATAAAAAATAATTAATTAAAATCAACTTATTAATGCGATGACTAATACACATATGTATTTTGTACAAGTATTTTTAATAATATGTAAATTATTATTAAGAAAATGAAATATTATAGTAAGTTAATAATTTTCATATAAATAGAATTTTAATAATTATAATTTATAAACTCCTTATTATTTTAAGATTATTTAAACCTGTTCTAACAACAAAAACTTGATTAAAATATAATTGATAAATAATTGTAATGGCAAATAATCATAAAGTTATGCATACTAGCTCCCATTTTTTATATAATATACATTCATACGTATTCTATACAAATAAAATATTTATTATAATTTTATAATTGCACTTAATATTCAATAAATTAAATTTAATTTTTAAAGACCAGCTGCTTGACAATACGATTTTTTCAATTGTTACGATTTGCCTAAGCTGAATATTGTTATACGGCCCTTGGTTAATTTGCTATAAAAAATATTTTTATATTAAAATATTTCTAGAATAGTCAAATATAGTCTACAACTTCCTCACAAATCGATATCTTTTAATAATATAATATTAATCACCTAGTTATCAGTAAAATCTTCTTAACAATTTAATAAAACTTTTACTTTTAGAAGTAAAGAAAAAATAAAAAAAAAACAATATTGAATCTGTTTTTTAACTTCGCGGTAAAACAAAAAAAAAAAAATTAAGTATTACGAGGTAATATTAATTTTTTCAAATTTATTTCCGATTGTCAGTAAAATTTTCATGATTAATTTTTTAAAATTTGTCACTTAATTAAAGTTCGACACTTTCAAAAACCTACGTAATTAAAAAAAAAACAATACTCGTAATAATAAATTAGTTTGAAATCGATTTTAAATTTTAATTCTTGAATTACGTTTGACTTTCATCATTCCACAATTTTATACTTAAAAAATTTAAATTAATAATTTTTGAAGTTCTCAAAATAATTTAATTAAAACGAAAATATAAATTGTGGTAGGTTAAACCTTACCTCAATTCTGTTATACCGAAATGTATGATTTGTTATTGAAATGTATGATTTTTTTGAAGAGGTGTTTGAATATGCAGCAACCGGAATTACCTTTGGGATAAGGTCAAATTATTTTTGTTCTTAATCAATCGGCCAAATTACTTTGAATTTTTTTTTTAATTTTTGCATTTATCATTTTAAAATTTAAATCAGAGTGTGGATGTGTTCATATAATGTGTGTTAGATCGTTTCAAAATTCAATGCTGTATGAAGATAAATATTCTTCCATATCTTGAAGTTTTATTTTTCAACGTTAGAGTATTAGAAGCTGAGTGGTGAATTTGTAATATCTCCGAGAGAAAAATTTCCAAAAATACCTATTTAAAATTCCATTATCTTACTGTTAAATAAGAAAGATTTTAAATTAAAATGGAAAAAATTACATTCATATTTTTAAACTTGCCATAAAATTTTACCGTAATGGGACGACATTTATTATACTTCTTCTCTTTTTAATTTATTGTATCTGACGATTTTTAGTATTAATTTAACAATAGAAAAATATTATTTCCCGCTTATAAATTTATGGAATACTATTTGGGTAATTTTAATATTTTAAAAATTTTTTAAATTTAATTAATACTAAAATTTAGTATACGTATATATGTAAAAATTTCATATATGTAATATAGTTAATAAAGTATAACACAAGATATACTTGAAAAATTTATCGTATTTAATAATTTACAAATCGGAGCAAATAGTGTTGAAGACTTTTGATTTAGAAATTTTAAAGATTTTTAGTGTAAATCTATATTATTGCAATAAATTTATTATCTATAGTAATGTAGGTAATTAACACAGATGGCTATTCGAAGACGAATAACAAAAATTCTTAAAACATTATTTTGGCATGAAAATAAATTGTTGGAATAATTTATTGTCTAAATTCAAAGGAAATTTTAAATTTTACCTATTAAAATTATTTTGAAAAATTGCATTCAAGTAATGAATTTATGAATTCAGAAAAATAAAATAAGAAATTATAACTTTAATGGACGAGATATCAGAAATTAGCATCGGAGATTACACATTGCTCAAGAGTACCTTATGGATTAGATAGGCCACCTGTAATCGTACTCTCAATGGCGGCCTAGTAATCCCGGAGTTCTGGAGGCCAAACGGTACGTTTACGCTAATTGGAGTGCTGTGGACCGGTTGCCCCAGCCTGCACGTCAACCAACCAACCCACCATAACTTAAATAATCATAAACAAATTTCTTTGATTATTATGAAAATAACGGTATACATGATAAATCCTAACTTAGTATAATATTTCACCAAAAAAAAAATTATTATAACCGTTTATTATTATAAAACGTGTGAAAATTAAGAAATTTGAAGAAAAAAAACATTTAATTCAAAAACAATTCAATTTTATTCCAATAATTTTGAAACGAATTTGAGTCTACACCTATGTTTTGAAAATATTGAAAATTAATTAATTATGTATATAAAATATTTTGATTAACTGAAAAATCAACCGAAGTAAAATTCAAATAAGTAAATATTTAAATATAAATTTTACTTAGAGCATAATATTAAAAAATTGGCACTCATTAAATTTAAGTGATAACTTATTATATTTATTTAGTGACCTTTTTTTATCTCTAACTATATAAACATAAATTTAAATATTCACACTGACACGTACGTATACAAATAAAAATTGTAAATAACACGTAATTTATAATAATTTAAAAAAAAAAAAGATTAATATTAATTTTGCCTATAATAGTGTGTCCCAGTAGTTTTCAAAATGTGCGTATAACATAAAAGTAATAATTGTATAACAGATTAAGTTTGATTATTAAAATTTTTTATATGTTATTTAATTAATATAAGTTCGTATTATTTAATTTTTAAAATATACTAAAAATATTTGTAGCACAATATTTTTGCACTAAATTTCATTCATAAATATTGTATAACAGAAATGATCTTTTAAACATCTCTTATACCACTTTAGTCTTTATTGAGATTTTAAGTTTTCAAACAATATTTCAAATTATTTAAATTATTAAGATTTGAAAATTTATTGACAAAATTATATAGATTATTAATAGAATTGTAGGGAAACCGACAAAAATATTAATAAGCTTATATTAATTATACGAACAAAATATTTAATATTATTCCTCCTAATTTTCTTATACATATAATATAATAAAAAATCTATATATAAATTTTTTAAACGGCGATAATAATGTCACCTAAAATTTTTTTTAAATCACACTGATCTGCATAAATTATTAATTTAATCTTTATTTTTCTTTTTGGAGGATCTTTTTGAATATTTTATTATTGCATATACATATACTATTTAAAATTCTTAACAAGACTTTTGTATAGACTTTTATTTTACTTATTTTATATATATGTACTTATTTATGATCAATTATCACCTTGCATGCTTCAATGAAATTTTAAAAATTTTTCAACTTTTTTTAAATTTTTTCTTCCCATTTATTTTAAGTAACTTAATTTCAATTATTTTAACAGCAAAAGAAAAAAACAAAAAATAAATAAATTTTTAGTAATTTTTCTTTTTGGATTTTTTAATGAAATTTAAGTTTAGCAATCCAAAAACTCAAAAATGCGTATACGTACTTAAAATATTTTTATCGAAAAATTATTTAAAAATAATTTAATTAACACCTATAAATCATATATCTTCTATAATATTATTGTATTTAACTATAAATATTAATAATTTATTCAAGTAATTTTTTAAAACTTGCACAATTACGATTAAATGATGTTTCCTTATAATAAAATCAAAATTGCATTCACATTTTAATCACGTACAAATATTCAAAAAATTTAATATTTAAAATTACAAATTTTAGGTATGAATGTTAGCAAAAATGATTCCACCTATAATGCTAACGTTTTACAAATGAATTTTACACACTAAATAAGCAAGACTAATTTAAAATTATAACAATTAAACATACCGTTATATTATGTAGGTATGTAAAAAATATATATTCAAATTTGTTAAAAAAAAAAAGAAATTTGTAAAACGCGTTTTAATTATTTCAGTTTACAAATTTTATTTTTGAATACACTTTTAAAATTTAAAAAAAAAAAAAAAAGAAATAGTTCACGTCTTAATGTCTTAACTGTTTAGCTTAATACGACAAACTGATCAGAAGATGCTCGCCTCAACTCAATTATATTTGAAGATTTTTCAATTAAATTGTTGTACTTTATTTTTTTTTCTTATGTTCACATTATTTTCATTATTATTTATTTTTTGTTTTTTTTTTTTCTTGTTATTACTTCATTGAGAAAAAGGCAAATAAACAGAAAAAAAAATAATAATAATTTAAGCTTTAAAAAGAAATCTCAGCTTAAAAATAAAATATATTATCAAAAATATGACTTTTCTTCCAACTATAGGATACCAATAATATGATAAGGAAATGAGATTTACTTACACTCTTACAAACAATAATTATCATAAATATTAAATAAGTATATGAATACCGATAATTTGATTATATGGGGTCCTTCAAAAGTCGCACCTACACTTAAAATAAAAGTCTAAATTTTTGCATATTTAATTTTAAAACAATATTTATAAACGACATTTGAGATGCCACATATAAAGCTTTTGAGCATCTTTGAAATCTAATTGCATTATTAATATTTAGAAATACTTGTTACAAAAAAATTTTGAAATGTACATCTACATTATTTTATATTAAATCAATTAAAAGTTTTCTAAACCATTTCATTACAATTTGTACGACATTTTTACGACATTACGAATTTTCTAATCAAAATTGTGTAATCGTAATTGAATTCGATGCACTGCAGTAATTTTGAATATACTGTTACTCGTATAATGAAATTATTTATATGTATGTATGTAGGCTAAGGAAACCATTTAAGTAGGCAGATCATTTGTGAACGTCAACTGAATAGTATATAAAAAAAATGACAGTATTTTCTTGTGAATTATTCATAATTTCTATTAAAAAAATTATATAATTTTATAATAGTTTCTAATTTTATATTCAGAGGATTTTTTATAATTCAGACATGCACTGAAAATTCTAAATTAAATCTTAGAAGTTTTTTTTCAAACATGCTTACAAATTTGAAGAAACTGAATATATATTTTTGCAGATTTGTAACATACTCGCGTAATTCTTCAATATCCAAAATTTTTCTATAAAATGTTCCTCTTCTAATTTATAAATAATTTTACAGTAGTTATAAAAAATTCTTTTGACTAAAACAAATTTCAAGCACAATATTGTCATTTTCGAACATGCTATATTTGCAGACTTTGCAGTTTTGATTTATCGAACATGTTTTATATTAATATCTAAGCTACAACTGAATTATCAAAAATCTTTTAAATAAAATTATTAAATATAAATTTTATTATTATAAAAAATTTTTCACCTTCATTCTAAACGTCTACTCTCTTTAATATTATAACTAAAATTTTTTTTTTTATTTTGATTATTATGAATTGAAAATTAGTGTTTCTTATGATATGTACATATGTTTGTATGTATTGTAATTAAGATGAGGCAGCCTATCCCGAAGTAGGGACATTTTACTAATTAAAAAGAAATAAAAAATTATCAGAGAGGGAATTTTTTTTTTTTGTATTCCTGAAATTTAAATTACTATTACGTACATACTTACATATATGTATGTATGTACTTAAGTGAAACAAATAGGTATACTTTGTTGCATTTAATGTATTAAGTTCAGAAAACGGTTTAAATTGATTTTATTAAGTTTATTTTATATTGAGAAAATTTATCTTGGATGGTCATATCTTGGTATATGACCATATGGAACTCAAAATGTATAGATAGGTATATACGAGTCGATATTTTAAAAAATTTGTTGTTCATAACTTTTCAACAGCTTATTGCATATAGTTACAAAAGGTAAATAAAGAAAAGCTTTGTACTTAATTATAATAAATTATATACATATATAGTTATGTATGTTTCTATATATACAGAAAATTTCAATAAATTTATTTCAATTTAGGGTAAATTCAAAGCTGTAAGTCGAATTGTAAAATTGAAGTAAAGATTTTTAAGTAAAAAAAAAAGAAGATTATTACTTATGCTTTTTGATTATCCCACTAATAACGGTGATGGATTAAAGATTCAGTCGAAATTTCATAGAAATTAGTCATATACATAAGTACATAGCAAGCATTACATACTTCTATTTGAATCGGAAATTATGATTATTACAAACTAAAATACTTTGAATATTTGAATATAACTCTTCAAATTTATCATAGACGACACTTAATTATTAATTAATTACTAATACTCGTGTAAACGCGAGTCATACTTTAAATTTTACAATAGTTCAAAACACCTCTTTGAAGTTTTCAACGTTAAAAAAAAAAAAATGGTAAGCTTGCATTTTGTAATAATTTTTTTGATACCTTTTTCATTTTTCTTACAACTCCAGTTAATCCGAACTTACCCTATATCAGTGATTTCAATGGAAATGTTTATGAAGCTTCTTAACTAAATCTGGACTTCAATTATCATTTCAATGAAATCTTTTATAATTAAAAAAAAAAAAACAGATTAATATTTTGTCTATATTGAAATATATTGTTTATACTTTAATATAAAAATATTAATAATTTATTTTGTTATCAATAAAATGAATACTAAGTATTGATAAGAAAAATTTAAATTTGAAATTTAAATTTTTATAATTAAATTTGAGATTTTCGATGAAATTATATAAAAATATTTCTTAAGAGGTTTAGGTTTTATTTTTCAATCGCTCTATTACTAGAATTTATGTTATTGTAAATTTATTTTAAAATTTATTTTAATATTTTTACTGGAATTACAAAAAAAAAAAGTTATGACCTTATTCAAAACAGATATTTTGATACTAATTATACTACCGTATTTTTATGATTAAACCATAAAAAAAATAAGCAACAAATAAAAATGATAATCAAAAATTCATCATTATACCCTTATGTGCAATACAAAAGAATTATAAAAGTTTTAATGGTAATTAAAAACTTAATTCATTTAAAGGAATATAAAGGTTTTCATTTACAAGCAAGCTTTAGATGTACAGTCATAAGTTCATTTGTTTTCAGATACACCAAAATTGTTCTCATGATTGAAGTCTTCTTGTGTTTTCAGATACAACTGAACTGGTCATCTTTAGGAAAATTTTAAAATTGCTTACATTAAAATTTTATTTTGTATTATGTTATTTAATTTGTTATATTTGAAACTAAATTTAAAATGTCAAAACAGTAAAAAGTAAGGATTTAATATCTAATTTCCATTGGAAAATCATATACAAGGAATGTAAATGAACTTATAAGCATATACACATATATTATGGGTTTTATTATAATAATTTCCCAAATATATGAATTTTCATAAAACGACTAATAATCAACAGCTGTATTCGAAAGGTAATCTCTTCTTCCAATATTTGAAGCTTGTTTACTCTGTGCTGCTTCCAATTTCGGACATTCTGTAATACGATGACCAAGACCACCACAATAACTGCAACCACGCGAATCTCCTAAATCCAAATATTTTTCAGATTCTGGACATAATTCAACCAAAAATAATGGAACTTTTTGCCTTGCCTCAATTAATAAATGTTTTAAATCTAATAATACAGATTGTTCTGTTGTTTTATTAACAAATGTAGTTGCTAAACCCTTTGCCTTTGAACGTCCTGTTCGACCAATTCGATGTACATAGTTTTCAACATCGTCAGGCATATCATAATTAATTACATGTTGTACATTTTGAAAATCTAAACCTTTCGATGCTACATCTGTTGCAACTAAAACATCTTTTTGCGAATCTCGAAATGCTTGCACGGCACGCGAACGCTCTTCTTGATCCTTACCACCATGAATTGCAACAGCTTCTACACCTTTTAATAGTAAATATTCGTGTATTGCATCAACATCTTGTTTTTTTTCAGCAAAAATTAACACAGGCGGTGGAGTTTTCTGCAAAACTTGTAGAAGATAAACAACTTTTGCCTCTTGTTTTACATATTCAACTTCTTGTGTAACGTTTAAAGAAGCTGCTCCGGCACGTCCTACATTAATAGTGACGGGTTTGACTAAAGCAGATCTAGCAAAATTTTGAATTTTCTTCGGCATTGTAGCTGAGAAAAGTAAGGTTTGTCGCTGTCCTTTAAAATACGAAAATATTGTTCGAACATCTTCTTCAAATCCCATATCTATCATTCTATCAGCCTCATCCATACATAAATACCTACAAATATGTAAAGTAACAATTTTTTTGTCTAACATATCCATTAATCTTCCCGGTGTAGCTACCATTATATGAACACCTTTGTTTATTACCTCTGTAGCTTCTGATACTGCTACACCCCCAATTGCTAAACACGATCTAATTTCCGGCATACCGTTTTCTTCTAAAATTTTACAAAAGTGTTTAATTATATCAAATGTTTGTTTAGCTAATTCTCTAGATGGGCAAATTATCAATCCATATGGGCCCTCATTCCTAATAAAAGGCATACGAATTTCTTGTTCAAGTGCAAACATGATAATCGGCAAAACAAAAACTAAAGTTTTCCCAGATCCAGTAAAAGCAATTCCTATAAGATCTCTACCTGCTAACACAGTAGGTATTCCTTGAACTTGAATGGGAGTGGGTTTCTTAATCTTCTTTTTTTCTAATCCTATTAATATACCTTTAGGAAATTTCATTTCTTTAAATGATCTTATCGGTGGTGGAACGTCGTCTCCTTCAACTAAAATTCTTAACTTATTTCTTATTTGTTCTCTTTTAAATTCTGGCATCGCTAATAAGTAACGTGGTGCTTTCCAACTTGTCTTGATTGGGTCTTCATACTGTATACCTTTTGCTAACTCAGCGACACCCATCAAAGCTTTTTTTTCTGCTACACTTTCTAGAATTTTCTCTTCTTCTTTTAACTGTTTCTCTACAGCACTAATTTTTTTAGCTTCTGCCAATTTTTTCAGCTCGGTATGTTGATCTAACAAACTTATATTATATTTTCGTCCCCATTCCTCTTGCGAATTCTCGTCATTTTCATTTTCACTTGAGGATTTTGGCACAGCCGACTCCGTAGTCAATTGCACTATTCTTCCAAGTTTAAGAAGTTTTTCTTTTTTGCGTTCTTTAATAGGCACATATGGAGTATAATCCTCATCTTCATCATCTTTAGAATTTAAATCATTTTCACGATATCGTTTTGCTGATGACTTCGATTTATCTTCACTCATTTTTATTTAAAAGCATGCAAAAATAAATTTTTCTCAAAATTTAAAAAAATTTGTTTATTTTTTGTCAAAATATTGTGCGACGAGAAAAAATAAACAAAACGTTGTAAAATGTCATCTAGAATTTGAGTTTTCAGTAAAATACAGCAGGGATGCGCATGAATCAATACGTACTACCAAATACCAGTACGTATTAGTTATTACGTTTGGTATTGATATGTCAAATTTTTTTGATTAAAAAATGTGATACAATTTTAATCAAAAAGAAAGTTAAGCGAATTAGTTCCGTAAAGTAGAAAATACAGATACATTCAACTCTTCATTCAACATGTTAAGATGTCTACATTCTAAAGCATACCCTTAAAAATATGATATATAGTTTCAATCAATACAGATTTTTAAAAGAATTATATCATATCACATAAATTATCATATAATTTCTGCATTTTGGAAGTTTTCAGTTATACTAGCTCATACAAGTTTAGATTTTAATAAAACTTAGTATTAAGTTCAGAATAAACAAATTTATGTTCATTTATTTACTTTTAACATATTTATAAAATCTTTTACGAAAAAGATTTGGTTTGAAACAATCAAAATTTGAAACAAATCTGATTTGTAAATACCCAATCCAATCAAAATAATTCGTATAAGAAAAATAGAATCTTTTTATTTTCCAGCCAATTTTTTACAGCTGAAACAATTGAAACTTCCGGGTAAATTTTAGATTTTTAAAAATTTTTAAATTTTTAAAAATTTGACAAGATAAAATTTCATTTGATAATACTAATTCGATTAAGAAATTTGTATCTTTGCTGGTTTTTTCCATACTATTAAGGAGAAGCTAAAAAACTTTTACATACTACTGAAGGGAAACTAATATATTTGTATCGCTGCTTTTAGCTTGAAAACATAATATGGTATTTACATCACATAGCATTTAAAACTGACTCAGTTATTAAGATTAACTTAGCCTGCTACATTGAAAGTTTGCAAATTTCATTTTCTATTACACATTATAGAAAAAAAAAGTTTTTGTTTATACAAAAAAACTTTTGACCGACAATGTACTAAATGATGCAAATTGACAGCAAACATGACATAAATATATTTTAAAACGTCAATTATAAGTGTAATTAGTTTGGTTTTGGTTACAAATTTTAATAAAGAAGAGAACTTAAAGAATTGTGTTTCTTAATTTTAATATATCATTCGAAATAATAATTTTAAGTAATCTATTTCAAAATGTCAATGTCAAAAACTACAAACACATATAATAGGCAGAATTGGGAAGATTCTGAGTTTCCAATTCTTTGCCAAACATGTTTAGGAGATAACCCATATGTTAGAATGATAAAGGAAAAATTTGGAAAAGAATGTAAAATTTGTACGAGGCCCTTTACAATATTCCGATGGTGTCCTGGCGCTAGAATGCGTTTCAAGAAAACTGAAATTTGTCAAACTTGTTGCAGGCTTAAAAATGTATGTCAAACGTGCCTTTTAGATCTAGAATATGGTTTACCTATTCAAGTTAGAGATGCTGCTTTAAAAATTGCTGACCAATTACCACAAAGTGATGTGAATAAAGAATATTATATTCAAAATATAGACAAAGAAATAGCAGAGTCGGAGGGAACAAGACCAGCTGGTGTTGTTGGTAAAAGTATTGCTGCAAGTGAAATGCTTGCAAAATTAGCAAGGACTGCTCCATATTACAAAAGAAATCGACCTCATATTTGTTCCTTCTGGGTTAAAGGAGAATGTAAAAGAGGAGAAGAATGCCCATATAGACATGATAAGCCAAATGAACCTGATGATCCACTATGTGAACAAAACATTAAAGATCGTTACTATGGTCGAAATGATCCAGTAGCGGAAAAGATTATGAAAAGAGCTGCTACTTTGCCAACTTTAGACCCACCAGAAGATAAAAACATTACAACACTTTACGTTGGAAATTTAAGCGAAAATATTACTGAACCAGATGTGAGAGACAATTTTTATCAATATGGTGAAATTAGGTCAATCGTGTTGGTACCTCGTCAACAATGTGCATTTGTACAATATACGAAACGTTCAGCTGCTGAATTAGCCGCAGAAAAGACTTTTAATAAATTAGTTATGCATGGAAGAAAAATTACTATTAAATGGGCGCATTCACAAGCAAAACAAAATCAATTTGGTAAAACAGATCGCCGCTATGAATTACCTGCTATCCCACCACAACAAACTGTTACTTCAAATCCTAATGATTTCTTCAATCTACATCAAGAAGTAACAGTTTTACCACCAGGGATGAAGTTACATCAAATTCCACCAAACATGATTCCTCCAAGCGCATATCAATCCATGTATCCAGGTCCGAACTCATTTCCACCACCATATCCATCAATACCTATGCCAGGCTCATCTACTAGTGGTTTAGATGGTATTCCGCCGCCACCAGGTGGCTTGCAATATCCTAGTCAGGATCCATCAAGGTTAGGATCGAAAAAATAGTAATTTTAATTCAATTTTCAATGTAGAATAATAGTTAAAATATGAAAATAAGAATTGTAATATAAAGAAAAGTAAAAATGATTCTCTTTTTTGGTTTTCTAAGATTCAACCTATACATTAATATAAAAAATGTAAGAAAAATAAAAATAATTTTTTAGTCACTCTAATGCGATGATGTGTACATTTTTTAATTTAATAATTGTAGTTATCTAATAACCCATTTCCAGCTTTCAAAATTAGCTTGCAAACTAAAATTCTCAAAGAAATACTACTTGAAATTACAGAAGCTAAGGCACATTACTATAAAGTTTCTAAATGAAGAGCCCTGGGTAATTTATTTAAATGAAACGTTTCTTCAAAAAAATTGTGAATTCTTTTAAAAAAAAAAATATCACTTAAAATGAATTGCTTGCTACAATATTACTTTTCCCAATTTTTAAGCAATTTAACTGAAATATTCTAAATTCGTTTAGCTTTAAATAATTTATATATTTTAAAACCAAGAAAAAGTATACTAAGTCTTCTAAAATAAAATGATTCCTCTTTGACCGAAGCAGGATTGAGTGAAATGACATGAAGGAATTCCTTTTCATATTTTGGATCTCCTTTTAATCATTCATTCGTTAGCACGAACAAAAATTATAAATGTTTGCATAGGTAAATGGCTCAATATTATGTTCCTTCAATGATTCTACTATTCTAAATAAAAGTCAATGTAAATTATTTTTAAATTAGTACAATCAAATTACTAATAAATTGGAACCGATTAAATTTATTCAAAATTAATTTTACATACAAAACTCAAAATTTAGATCATAAAAAAAAATACCATATTTCTTGCATTATAATGGAAACATAATTACAATTTCAAGTGCGTACTATTCATAAAATTTTGTGTTTCCAAATATTAGATAACATTCATTTTCCAATGACAAGTTACATTAAAAAATTCAGAATACATATTTATATAGTTTCTAATATAGTTTATTACTAAATTAATGAAAACTATGAACACTTGAGCTAACTTATTTATTAAAAAGTATTCGTTTCTTAATTTTTAATATATTCAGAAATTATTATTTCTGAAATTAATTTATACAGAATTTCATTGAATATTACGTGATATTTTGGATACATACTCAAGTTTTAGGATTAAATTTATTATTGATTGTATTATTTTATATTTTTTTTTCTGGAAAATAAATTACGATGATGTAAAATCTGAAATGACTTTACATTCTGGTTTAACTTCTTTGAACGCATTAATACCTTCTAAAGTTACACCACAACCTGTTACATCCAAATATCTTAATTTAGGTGCACACTGCACTAAATGCCTTAATGATACATCTGAGACATTACGGTAATGACGTATCGTTAATTTTTCTAATGTTGTGTCTTGCGGTCTAGGCTCTGCTCTTATAACTACGATATTATTTTGTACAGGAACACGAGCAATTCCATAGCTACATACACCCCGATCAGTAATTTTTGTTGGAGCAAAGTAAATGCTAGCAGCATGTGTTGGCCCATGATTCTCATTACCATTGCCGTTTTCATTTATATGCTGTGGTAAAAATATTCTTAAAGCATTTTCTAATTGTTCTTGTTCTCGCCCTGGTTCTAGTTCATGAAATTGAGGTATTGGAGCAGGTGCATTTCTTACATTGCCTTCATCTTGATTTTCGTTGTTTTCTGCTTGATTATTTTGGTTATTTTGTGCTGGATTTTGATTTTGTCTATTATAAACTACATTTACAATAAAAAATCTACCAGGCTGCGGGCCAGGTCTCTGTGGACGAGATCGTTCTCTAACACGAGTTTCTGGCAACGTTACATTGCCACAAGATGTTCTGATGTTTGACCGCGCTCGATTGTTACGCAATTCAACAGGACACTCCACTAAAACTTCTCTTAAATTTTTCAGTATGTTGAAACATTGAAAATCCGAATCCATTATAGGAGTTTCTCTGAGATCTAATGTCTGAAATGAATTATAAAAATTAAATGAAATCAAATACAAGGATGATATCAAAATTTACCTCCAATTTTTTGAAACCAAAACGTGCAGCTATACTCCCATAAGGAACAAATTCCTTCAATTCGCTGCAACCTCTAATGCTGAGACTTTTTAAATTAACCACTTTCGAAAATGCTACCAAATCATGCGTGCTAAACCAATTACAGAATTCTATGCGCAAATCTTCCAAGTCTTTCAAATGAGTATCAATTCGAGAAAACAATATTGCTGGGGTATTCGGCCAGCGAACGTAGCAATCATTAAAAACCAATCTTTTTAGCTTTTGAGGAAAATGTGTTATATCGATCTATAATATAATGCATAAATTTAATTGAATGTTTTGAAAATACTATTTTTTTACCGTCTCTGTATTAATAAAACAATGATGAAGCTCCAATATTTGCAAATTTTCGCATGTTTCAGTTATATGTTGTAGTAAACTTTCACTTAGAGAAACGTTTTTCCATGATTCACTGGGATATTGTTCTACCATACCTCTTATTTTAATACAATTTGTCTGGTCATTCACTCTTAATAAATACTTTTTGATATCTTTGAGATGTAATTGTTCACCTGTTAAATCTACATTCCGCCAAAGGCGTGAATCTCGAATGAGAAGTTGCAAACGGTTGCATGTTCTATAAAATACAATATTGATAAATTTTTACATTATAAAACAGAATTTAATTACTGTCCAACAGCAAGTAAAGATTTTATTTCCAAATTCGAAAGTATTTCAATTAAAATCTCGTCACACAATTCAAGAAGGGAAAACGGTGGTTCCTCAACCAACACTTTTTCTGCTGGTATAAGGCACTCTTCATCGTCAACATTTGTATATTCTCCAGTTGATGAATACCTGCGCTTACGTTTCTTTAAAGATGTTTCATTTGTTGTTTTAACGTTCGATGGTGGAGGGGTGGATGTATTCGCTTCCATTTTTTGTCAATATATTAAAGTACGAAATAAACAATTTAATGTAATTGGCTGACTCCAATTTTATTTGCCTGAATAAAAATTTAATATTTTTAAAGCTCAAACCTGCACTAAATAGTAAACTGAACAAATTTTTTATCATAAATATGAAATGAAAATGACACCTAGTGTCTAAAATTCTAATACTAAAATGTCAAAAACAAAATGACTACCAATTTAGTAACGTTCAGAAAATATTATTAATAGGGAAGAGTTCGGATTTAATAAGAAAAAAATTGTATATTCAATGCGATACGCGTCGAAATTTGATTCACATTGCCTTTATCCCAACGACTATAATAATTTCTTATAGATTTTGTAATTTATCTATTTACGGACATAGGCATCAATAACGGTATGTAATTAGAATATGCCTCCCTCACTTGAAATTCTTAAAAAAGGCGAAATTTAGACTGCGCAAGGTATAAATTTAATATGTTAAATGTAATAATTATTTTCTCTTTCAAATTTTGTACATATTTACATAAGAAACTTCAAAAAAGGTTAATGTTTTGAAATTGCCAAATGCATAAGATTACAAATTCTGAAATTCTATTTAAATTATGAAAGAATATGTTATCTTATAATTTAAAAATTTATTTCAGTTTGTTACATATTTTAGTTTAATTTTATAAACTCCAACTATTAATTTCCTGAACCAATTTTATTAAATAGCTTGTCTTTTGCAATTTGTGCCATCAAACCGTGAATCAATTCTATTGAAGTTTTGCTGCAATCCCTTGTTGCTTTAGTTAATTTATCTTCTGTTCGCTTCTCGTTGATATCGCCTGAAAAAAAATCCACGTATAAGCTTTATCTTATTAAAGAACTCAGTATTTACCTGTTACGACAAACGGACCTCGACCTAAACTTGTTTCACTCTGTTCTAACTTTTCAGACAAATCAAATATTTGTCCCGTTGTATAATCAGTATTTGTCAAAAGACCAGAACTTCCAAGAGTATTAATCCAATATTTATTCCACAAAGAATCTAATAGTTTTCTATCTAAAGATGACTTGAAATAGCTAACTTCAAGAGAGTAATATTGTTTGCAATGGACTCCGAAATCTTCAATTTTGTTAAGAGGAATAGTTTGATATTCTGATGGTTCTTCATTTGGAGGCTTAAAACCTTTTGGGTAAGTTCTAAAAGCACCTAAACAAACTTTACCTGATGAAACTGTACGAACGGGATCTACAACAATAGCAACGAAAGGCTCTTGAAAGTTTTGGTTTAACATTTGTGTTGAAACATCGATGCCAGATAACCAGCATCCATATCCAGGATGGCTGTGATACCATCCAATTGCATTTTCTAAGCGTCCAACCTCTTTTGCCGACTCTATATAAGCAGTCATATATTCATAAGCTTGAGATTGTGCATTAACTCTGGTTTCCGTTCCTTCAACTGGCAAAGCAAAAGCATCCATTACGATCTAAATGTTGTGTATTATCAATGCATTATTTGTAAATATTTTGACTAAAAAACAGAACTACCATTGTATTATCCTCTACTTTTCCCAATAATAAACCCATTACTTCCAATGTTCCACCAGATCTGGCATGCATAGTCATTTTAAGCAAAGATAATGCTGAAATTTTTATCTCTTTGAAGTAATGTGGATCTTTTTCCCATGGTTTAGCGTCTAAGATTTGCCTTTGTTGTTGACTATCATACCGAAAAATCTCATCACACGATGGAATAGTTTTGATATTATTCTCCAACTCCCAAGTTTTTTGAGCCATTTCGGATTGACTTGCAGAAGAAGTTGAAGCCATTTTTATTATATTATTAAGATTTAGTTTTGTTCAAATCTAAATGAATGTTTATTAAAACCGGACTAAAAAAGTAGTAGCGAAAATTTTTCACAATCCTCAATTAATGTCAAAGTCAAACTAACATCAGTAATAGTTAAACAGGGTTGAGACTACAAATTAAGTTTTGATATTTACAGTAAATAATACAACAAATTTGTTCTCAAAAAATTGTTAAATGTAAATGTAGTAGGTACATGCATTTTCTAATTAAAGTGTGTTCACATGGGCTTAGAAATAAAGTGAAAACTGCTCTCATGTTTCTATATATCTCTTTGTGAGGCAAATATTAAAAGATAACAAAGGTAAATTTTATTAAATAATAATTCTAACGTTCAGAATTGGATATTGACCTGATTAAAGAATAATTGACTTATTTTTTGACAACTTCAAAGTATTATTTTAAGTTTACGTTAGTTAAAAACAAAGCACCACACAACAAATCAGTTACTAATTTCTGGTAAATTTAAAATAAATTGAAAAAAAATATAAAAATTTTAGATGGAAGTGCGATTAGATATGAAAGGATGAAAGTAATATAATATGCATGTAAGTATTTATTTTGTCTTTCTTACAATATTTAAATTTTTTTTTATTTTCTTTCAGGAATCAAGTCAATTTAAGTATTTATTAAGAAGTGCTTTTATTACAAATATTTTTTTCTAAATTTATGAAGCACAAGATTCTAATTAAGGTATCAAAAAACAAATTTCTCTAATCACTCAATTCATAAATATATTATACTAAATCCAAATAATTTTGACGAATTTTTCTCATTATAAAAAATTCCGTTTTACGGAAATATTCAAAATATTGTAAATTTAATAATTAAGATAACTAAATATTTTATTTTCCACTTTTTAAGATTTTGTAACAAGTAAGAGTACATAATTAATAGTTAATCAAAAATTATAAATAATTTCCACAAAAACGACAACACTTAAACATATAAATCCCAAGCATGCAAAACAACGACACAAATTTTGTCATTTTTTGTGTCAAATTTTATTGTAAATTGTAGAAGAAGCAAACTATAAAGTAAAGTTTGAGTTGATTAAGACGCGAATTTATTTTTAAGTAAAATTTTAACTGCGCGGCTAATTAAACCCTATTTTATTATTGTGTATTTAATTTAAGCGAGACAACTTATTTTACTCTAAGTTAAATATGTCGTTAGCTAACTGGAACGTTAATAATTATAAAACAGACTATGAAAGTGAAGAGCATTGGGAACTTAGAAAAAAATTTATGGAGGCATATAAAGACAGGTAAGGTAGATTAAAAATTTGTTACGTTTGTCTTATTTAATGTATGTGATGAAGATTTCCAGAAGATGAACTAGTCTGCTTAGCACAAGTATTTGTTAATGTTGAATTTATGGGATGCAAATATCCAGATGAAACAATGAAATTAGTTGGTGAACTATCACAAGATGTTGCTAGTGAATTTAGGAAAGAACGAGCGGGAAGATTAAAAAGAACTTTTGTTCGGGCGTCAGATGCAGCCGAACAAAAAGCAAAAGGTAGAAGAAATAATAATTAAATGTGAGTTTATATTTAAATTTTTAATATAATTTTGTATTTATTTATTTAAAAATTCCAATACAATGTAACCATAAACGCTTAATCTGGTAACAATGGTAATAAAAAATTCTAGGCAAACGCTTGAAGAATGCAAATACAAGTAATACTTTTAATATAACAGCAATTTTAAAAAATACAAGAATTAGTGATAATTCAGATACAGACGACGATAATGAAAGACCTTCATTTTCCGGTGTAAATAAAAATTATCAAAATCCTCGCTTAAAAAATAATTATTGGAATGCACTAAATATTAAACAAAGTATAAAAGACGATGATGACGCATATAAATTTTTTCATATTTCGGAGATTTCGGATTACAATGAACAATCTAAAACCGATATTTTTTTATTTTCGAGTTTGAAATATCAAAATTTTATTTTAATGATTACTGGTGATCGTAATTCGATACATACGTCAGCTACGAAATGCGGATGCAGATATGAAGAAAAAGAAAGAGTGAATGAAAATGGAGAAAAGTAAGAAATAATAATAAATTTTAATTTAATTAGATTTCATATGCATTCTAGAATTTGCGAAATTACATTGAATGGGAAACCAGTTTCTGAAGGTAAGGGTCCTTCAGGAAAAATAGCTAGAAAGCTAGCATTTGATGAGGCCATGAAAGTTTTACAGAAAGAATGTTATTCGATTAAGGTATTCTATCTAACTGAATATTATTGAACGTAACAATTCTATTATAACTTATTATTTTAGGTAAAGCCCAATCCCGAGAAGATTAACATATCTAGAACCAATGAGACTATTACGGCGAAAGTGGAAATAACATCAGAATTTTCCAAATTAGACTCGAATAATATTGGATATAAAATGATGCAAAAGCTCGGGTGGACTGGTGGAGCTCTTGGCGTTAGAACTAAAGGACGCGAAGAGCCTATTGAGTAATTACTTAAATATTGATTGTATGTAAAATAAACATCTGAATAATTTTTTATTTGAATTTAGTTGTCTGACAATAAAAAATAACAGGAAAGGACTTGGTAATGAAACTGATGAGATAAATGCAAATTATTTTAGAAAATTATTGAAAAGCTACACAGCTTCTGACGATATTCGAGAACTTCATTTTGATTCATGTTTTACAAAGGAAGACAGAGCTAAGTTGCATCAGTATGAACTAAATATACCATCTTACCAAAATAAGTTACACATTTTTATAAATCTATATTTTAGAATTGCCACCTCCAAAAATTTAAAGTCAACAAGTTATGGTAAAGGTATTGAACGTTATTTAGTAGTTAGTAAGAGAACTATATCACCTGAAAATATTATTAAAGAAGTTTTGATAAATAAGAACCCGATGTATATAAACAAATATGAAGTAAAAGTCCCAGTTAGAAAACGTAAACATTTTCCGGATCATGTTTTTGAAAATGATTTATTAAATGATGACAACTAAACTATTTATTTTTCATTAAAGTATAATAGTGCTGCCGAGGACTCAAAGTGATTTTATTTTAAGTAGGAATTTTAACTTTTTTTTCTTATAATATCATTGATATTGTATAAAAATGACATTACAAAATTTGTATAAACTGATAAAATAACTTGTATTTTGTGTTCTTCAATGCAAGTTTGAATAAAATCTAATTTAGATGAACTTTTATTTTATAATTCTTGAAAAATTTATTTTAGTACAAGACTGTTAATATATCTTTTAGCGCATATTGAAGATATAATGAGTAAAATTTTTTTACGATAAGAATCGAATGATTTTTCATCATAATGTCTGTTTTTATTAAAAAAAAATCTACTATGAAAGCATAATAGTTAGACTCTTTCATTGAAGAATAATAATTTTAAAACATACGGCTTTTGCGATTAATTTTGTAGTATAAAAAAATTCTTTAACCTTTTTCTTTGTATAAAACCCAATACTTCAATTTTATCAGCTATAAGTTTGTTATATTGAAGAATTATGAGCAGAAATTCTCTGCTCCATATGTTAACATGCGATTTTATATTTTATTTTTACTATTTATTTAAAATCTTCTTCTTCTTCTTATTCCTATCCGCTTTGGAGGTTGGACACCACTTCTTTATATTCCGTACGTGAACTAGCCTTCCTGGTGAGTACAGTGAGAGGAAATCCGCACCATTCGGTTAGATTGTCAGTCCACGATTTCCTCCTTCGTCCCCTATTTCTGTTACCTAAGATTTTGCCTTGTAATGCCAGTTGGAACACTCTGTACTTGCTATTTCTCATGTGTGACCAAAGTACTTGACCTTTCTTATTTTTACGGTTTGCACCAAGGTTTTTGAACAATTCATCCGTCTGCATTTGTAACTCTGTCCTGCCATGATATTTTCAGAATTCTTCGGTAACACCACATCTCGAAAGCCTCAATCTTATTTAGTTCTGTCTGATTCATAGTCCACGTTTCTACACCATATAGTAGGACCGACCAAACATAGCACTTAAGAATCCTGATTTTTCCCTTGAGATTGATGTTCCTACTACACAATATCTTCTTCATTTTTGTAAACGCTGCCTTTGCCTGCTGGATTCTCGAACGTATTTCACATTGATTTGATGTGTTAGCGTCCACCATTGCACCCAGGTACAGAATTCTTTGTACTCTTTCCAGTTTTCTTCCTTCTAATAACAACTCAGTATTTGCTCCAAATTTTTTTGATATTGCCATATATTTTGTTTTCTTTGTATTTAAAATATGTTTTTTCAAAATGATTGATTGCCGTGTTTTTTTTTGTAAATTGTAGTTTAAGTTTACTTACTAAATTTAATTAAAATAATGAACAAGCATTATTTTTAATAGTGAGTTTATATTTCACATTAGAATTTTATTAACCATCTAATGAAGAATTTATAACGAATTTTAAAAATATGAAAATTTTATTGCCATTTAATTTTCAAGTATTTCTAAGAATTCTTTGTTTTAGGACAAGATTTTAATTTTTTCAAGTGTTAATTCCAAAGTACATATTCTTTATTCTAAGATAAGTTTATATCCCTTTAGTCAATTGGATTTATTTGTTGTTCACTTTCAGAATCTGAATCTGATTCGTTACTAGAAGAGCTTATACTTCTTGAAAATTCTTCAGATTCACTTGTAAAGTAAAGTACCGCACATGGAATAACTACCTCTTTTAAATAGCAGCCAATTTCAAAATCCTTTTCAAGATCATCCTATCAAGCGAAAAAGTTTAAACATTATTATATACTAAAAAAAAATATAAATTTTTTTGGATTATTTTAAATATACATATATGTATGTATATCATGAAGTTGATTCTCCTAAGATAACAGAAAATAACACAATTTTGTGCAGGGAACAACAATCAAGCTAAAATTGAAAAAATTAAAAATGTTTCCTGTAAAAGTTAGTCGTTTATGTGTCATTGTACAAAATTCTGAATATGCTAATCTCATCATCTCATTACAAATTAGAATGTTAAGCAATTGAGATTACATTTTACCGAAGCCTTTTGTAGATCATTGTGCCATATCCGTTTTTACTTGTATAAGTTTAATTGTTTTTACACTAAAAAAATTTCAATACTTACGTTACCATAATCAAAATCGGGATTGTTTTCATTTAATATTTTTGGTGGAACAAAGAAATTAAAAAATGATTTTTTCGTAACAGATTTTGTTACGTCTAAAAATTAAAAAAAAATAATCGTAAAAGCAAGTACCTAATAATAAACTTCTATTTTTACCTGAATGTTTCTTTTTAACAGTTTTTTGAGTAAAATTCTTTCCCTCATCATACCAATTTATTTTACAACCTACGCATTTGTATATTTCTTGATTATGGGAATTTAAAAAATATTCTTTTGTTAAAATTGTATTTGAAAAATAATCATTTGGAGAGAAATGAAATTCTAAAACAAACGATAATGTTGGTTCTGTTTTTGTAGTTGCCCGAACATCTATTAAATGCTAATTGGAAAAATTCTTATATTTTAGTTTATGGATTATATTTCTTAAATTTACCTGTAACAAATCTTCATCATCCTCAAAAACAAATTTAATTAATTTTGAAAATTGTTTTAATATAATTAGCCAAAAGTTGGGTATTCCTTTAATTGGATTGTCTGATTTCTCACTTCCCTCATTCAAGTTTAAATTTTCTAAAGATTGAGTAACATTCATGTCATTATAGTTACATTCCTGTTCCGTTGGCTCATAATTACCACTGAAAAAATATTCAAAAATATTTTTTTTTTTTCTAAATTAAAACTTTAAAATTTTAAAGTGAAGTAGCACAAATTAAAAATTTTTTAACATGAGGCAAGGGAAAAATTTTTTATTATGTTGTACGGAATTAGAAGATAGAATTGGTGAAGAAAACCCTTGAGAGTACACCGAAATTAAAAGGAAAAATAATTTTCTAAAATTTTATTTTTGATTCAACTTTTTTTCAAGGATTCATTTTAATTTGTAGAATTCGCAAATTGCAAAGGCTACGCCAATAAGTGTCATTACTCAAAATTCGTAGGCGTAAGTCAAACTATCTAAATCCTTAAAAATTTTTGATAGATGTCATATTATTACGTAGTATTTGAAATAAATGTGTTTTGAAGTTCGTTATGAACCTGTTAAATAGCTTATTCATACCAGTTTTCTAGATCATAACTAAAAATACCATTGGATGTAATATAGCAAATTAATTATTGTATAATTTCAATAAAGTTAAACAACAAAAAAATTTAAGTACCTTTAAAAGTTTAAGAGCCCCTATTTCCTAAACCTGTTGGGATATATGTAGATGTATATCGTGATGCACCACTATATAGTGTAATATGTTCATTGTACAAATGTATGTCTGTATGTACTTACTTGACAATATCACATCTTTTAGCGAAAATCTCTTGATATTTAGTTTCAAATTCTTTTTCGATTTCTAGTACTCTTTTATTAAATTGAACATCTAAATTTATTATTTGTATTTGTTGTTTCATTAGTGCTGCAACTCTTTTTTTAACTTCTGACGGTTGATTGGCATATTGCTTTTTTATATGTACATATGTATATGTATGTATATTTGTAGATATGGATATCATACACGTACATATTATGTATGTACATATTATACAAATATGTTAATTAAATAATAACATACGAATTATATTATATTATTTAATATTTTTTATTTTACTCACCATTGACTCATTTCTTCTTAATATTTCTGATTTATATTGCATCATTATTGGATTAATTTCATTTAAATCTTCGGCCATATTTAATTTTTTTGTATATTTTTTAATAATAGCATCAAACTGATAATACCTGAATTTTTTTTTTAATAAATTGACAATATTTTAATGAACATTATGATCGGAATTTTTTATTTTACGAGAATAGGTTCGTTTTGAATTTATAAAAAAAAAATGTATACAATTACTTCCTTAATATGGCGGATCGAGTACTTGATTTGAAATTTCAATCTGCGTATGTACTGTAAAAGTTGAAGTAATATTACGGCAAACTACCCAAAGAGTTTTGATAATTTATTCATTACAAGTTGGCATTATCTGAGTTAATCGTGTTGTTGGGTATCTATTTGGTATTCATAAAAGCACTGTAAAATATGTTTTCTGGCTGAACTTCATCCTAAAAAATTAAATCTAAAATGATTTTAAACTCTCAATTGAGTTTTGAAAATTTTAATTTAAAAGTTCATTGAATTTAGGTTTATCAATACTTGTACATGTTGAATTGGCAACCTTTTTTTTTTTTTAATGCTTTCTTCTATTATGAAAAAAGAAGTTTTGGTTTTTTAGATATTATTGTGAATATAGTTCATATTGTTATACATAAGGCAATATTTGTAAATACACAATAGAACATCTATATCGGGGTGGCGCTGTTTTAAATTAAAAAATTCAATACTCTTTCAAAGCCCATCCACAGTAGAAGAAAACCAAGTTCAAAGAAATATGTAGTTCTTTGGGTTAAAAAATAATTACAAGAATTGTCTCCTGCACAGTACTATAAAAAACCATATACACAATGATAATATGTATGTATATATTATGTTGCTTATGTATACAAAATTGAATATTGAAAATTAAAACTCTGTTTCTATATGTACAGGTACTAACTAACTTATGAACAATAAATTAAACTAACAACATATACCAAATAATGCTCTAATTATTATTAAAAGAAATGATTTTTTTTTGTAACAAAGAAATACTAAGTAAGTAGAACCTTGCTTCTAATAAAATTAAATAAATATCATTAAATGTGTACGAAATGAGTAGGGCAAAGACTAAATTTGATTGTTTTAGAAATGTAATCCAACCTAGCCTTTAATTGATTTTAAAATTTTTACAAGTTCTTTCGCTCTAGAGAGGATTTAACAATTGACAATCTATATATATGTACATTTAGGTTGTATGTAAATATGGTTTTGTGAGAAAAATATTTTTTTTTTTTATCGTATGTTCTCGTCAAATTTTGTTTTTAAAACTTTAAATACAAAAAAAATAAAAATAAAACTTTTCAAAATAAAAAAGTGATTTATTTTTTTTTTTTTTTTGTGTTCTCCTCTCGCTCATCTTATAAAAATTAATTTATTCAACTCACATTACAGTGTTTGATTTTGAAAAAAAAAATTTTTTTTTAAGTGAACGTACTTATATTTATAACAATTATACTTGTCTTTATAACTTTATCCTATTTAACCACAAAATCTATCCTCTATGGTAGAGTATATGAGAATAATAACAAAAGAATAATGAAAAAAATTGTAGAAAAAAAAAAAATAGAGAAAAAAATAACAAAAAAACAATTTTTATTCCTCCTTTTACTAATTAAGGATTTTCTTTTCGTGAGCTAATATAATTTCGTTTTTTTATTTTTATATTATTTTTATTTTCGGTGCTGCATTCATCTTGATATATTTCACATTTAAATGTACCTTTCGAATAATGTTTTGAAAGTTTATAATACATGCTGTTATACTTGCATATACTCACATAATCAACTACATTACATTACAGAAAGAGTTGCAATAATTTTTTCAAACGTTCCCGAATTTAAATGGTTTTTGACAAAACTGTTAAATGTATAGATAAAGAATTTAGAAATTTTAGTTTTCAATTGACCGTCGAAATTAAAATCTCTTTTGGATAGAGGTTTCGAGCTCTTGGTTATCCCTCAACAATTAAGTTCAAATATTTGGTCATGTTTTTAGAATTTCTTTCTATATATCGTATACGATATCTTATTTCATTCTAATGCATCAAATCCCAATTTAAAAAAAATTATCCCAGAATTTTCAGTATCAACGTAAACTAAAAAAAAAAATTACACTAGCAATTTGTTTTTTGTTTCTCAGTTTATTTTTTTTCTATTTTTGGTTTTTTATTTAGAATACAAATTAATTGTACGGGCCCAAAATTGCAAATTATTGCTGTGTGTTCGCTACTCATTAAGACTTTCAATTTGAATAAACGCACATAAAAGCGAATAAAAAACGACTAAAAAAAAAAAAAAATTAAATAAAACAGATTGTGCAAATATAATATTGTCATCATCGGTTAATCCAGGGCTCATATATTTTTTATTAGAGGTTGGCTGAATTTTTAGAATAATATAATTGTATATATAACTACTCGCATATAATTCGTATATATATATATGTAAATAGGAAAAATTCCCAGGATTATTCCGTTATTTTATTTTTTTTTTTAAATTTTTTTTTTTAACTTTGCTTTTCTATTTTTTTTTTTTATAAACAAACCATTAAAGTATTAAAATAGATCTTGGTAAATAATTTCATTTGTATAGAGGGGTTAATTTTGTAACAGGAAAAAAAAAGAAAAGAAAAAACAAAATGAAAAAAAAAATAATATAGGAAAGAAAGGAAAATCCTTAAAAACATCATTGGATTTCTTTTTATAAATTCAGGAAACGTTCAACATCTACATTATCATATCAAGAATTGTGTATGCTCTCTATATATAGTTGTATACGAATTCTATATTATAGCTATACAAAATCATTGGTTAGACAAAACTAGAAATTTATATATATATATATATAAAATTTTAATATAGGTTTACAATCTACATACATATAAGTATAAGTGAGCGAAAGACTCAAATGAGCCAACTGTTACTTTAATACTTAACTTTGAAAATGTTACGAACGTGAGATTTAATTTAGATGTTATAAACTAAACTATAAATAAATATATTGTATATAATAATGTACATAAATATATTATGAATACGTAAAAATATAATACATATATATATATTGCATTTGCTTTTCCATACCTATACATACATACTTATGTATGGGTATATGAGGGTGAATGAGAAAACAAAAAAAAAATGAAATGAAGTTTTTTGATAGAAGATATTTAAGTATAAAAAGAGAGTCATCTGCTAAAGGTGAATCAATTTTGCTATAAAGGATTGCTATTATATTTTGTATAATTGTATGCGTGGTAAATAAATTTTTTTTTGTGGGGTAAAACACGTTCGTATTTCTTTTAATGATGATTATATTCTCTTTTTTTTTCTTTGTTTTTTATTTTGCTCTTGTTTTGATTTGCTTTTTATATTTACTTATTTGGGATTTTAAATTAAATTATCCTAGTTTAAAAATGTTTTTAATAATATGATTTACATCATGAATAATATATATTATGTTGTATATGAAACGGTCATTTCAAGGTCAAATATTTTTGTTTTCATAAAGGATTTAAAGTGATATTTAGTTACAATTATATGAGATTAAAGTAAATATATATTTATTTAGTGATTTTTTATTAAAATACTTATTATTATTATTATTACTATAAATTCTCTATAGATTATACCTTTAATTGTGAATTATATAGGGAGAGGAATAAAATTAATTTAATATTGGCACTTATTTACTGTACATGACTTTTATAAGTTTTAACAGAATTCCCTGTTTTCGTAAATTCAAAATGTACACAATTTTAACATAAATAAATTAACACTGGGTAGTTCTAATATAGTTAACTAGTATTGTCAAATAAAAATTTGTAAATGTAAAATGCGCGAAAACTTTATGAAAATTATGCAAACTAAATTTTGAGTTTACATGTTTAGCTAGAATTGCAATAATAATGAAAAATTGCATATTTTTTGGAAACTTGTTTTCAAATTACAAAATTTCATTTCCAATTGTGTACAAGTACAATTGCAATTTACGCAAACTGGGGTTAATTATTAATTTCAATCTTCATATGAAATGATAACGAAACGATAAATTTGTCTATAATGATAACTAAAGATAGATTATAACAAATTTTATTTCAATAATAAGAGGAAGAAATTCTATATTAAGTTCATTTATGTATAATTCTTTAATTACAAGAAAGAAAAAAATGTTATATTGTATGTGTTATAATTGACAATACAGTAATTCAATTCATTTGTAATTGTTTTAATTGTTGTATTAAAATAACGCAAAGAAGTTGTTCCTATATATTGATAAATTATATCAGTTTCAGATTTTGACTTAATATTTTAATATGAATCAAATGACTGTATGTCGGATCTTTCTGTGTTTCTTCGAAACTTTTATAAAAATATGAATAATCTGACTGTGTGTCTACTACACTGTAAATTTGTTACAGTGTTTTACATTATAAATTTGGTACTGAGTGAAGGCAAGGTGACATTCCTCAAAAGCCACCGCAGCAATTCCCGACTTATTGCAGCCCCCATACACTCCTATATAGTATCCCTATACACTCCTATATAACCATTAATTAAATTAAATAATAAAATATATGAATTTATGCTTATTTAAAATTACCATTAAATTTATATTTATATAGTGCATGTCCAAAAGTATAGATATTGGTTTTAGATTATACTGTATGTCTAAATGAATATTACAATATTCTAAAATGTTTATTGACCACATAATAGTTGAATATTAAAATTTTAATGTAAAATACATGGTCAATATTGTTTTGCAATTGCATACGTATACATTAAATGTATACATACTCGTATATATAACACAACAATGCAAGTTGGTAAAAATCAATGACAAAAAAAATTTTCAACACATACCTATAGAAATATTTTTTAACCGCTTTTTTGATACTTATTTTAAATAAAATTAAAAGTTACATCACATACAATTGAGTATACATACATCTATAAATGTATAAATATATATTTGAAGTTATTTCTGCATACGTGAAATG